TGTGATCAGCAGAATTTCCATAGCACAGGTAGTCATATTTGCATTCCCCCCATATATTTGCAATCGATACAGAACTGTGATCAACCACAATTTTTTAAATATCATTGGGCAATAACTGGCTGTATAAGCAATTGTGAAGAAATCAAGAATCACATGAGAAATGCATGTGACATAATGGAAGATGGAGTGGAAAAGATAATTTTACACGCCTTAAAAAATGAAAATTAAGACCGGAATGAAAGGTCTTCTCATCGCTGATGTAACCTTCTCTCAGAAATTGTTTCAGTGTGATGTAGTGACACTTCTAGAAACGCGTTCAGTATTAATTTTAATGGCTCAAAGATTTTGAAGTGAATGTTGCTGTTTTAGTTCATCGGTCAGATCATCTCCCCAAGATAAACATTTCTATCGTTTCGTGCAATAGCTCAACAAAAATCTGTGATGTTTTTCTCTTATTGCATTATTTTGTGAATAGCGTTCATCCAAAACGATGAACATGTAATGGCGAATCATTGGAAAGAGCTGGAAGAATTGCTTTTGAACGGAGCAGTTGTTCGACGTCGGCTTTCGTATGTAACGCAGAAACGTTACCAAGTCGAACAGTTTGTTGGAAGCAATTTATTTTCCGTGATAAAAAACAACAAGTTTTATCGAGCAGTAAGTGATCTTTAAGGTGTTCTGAGGATCGTTTAGAGTTTTGTTTGATGTCGAATGGTCATTGCTGAAATACATCGAAAAGATTTCTCGAACAGTTCTTACAGATATCTGAATAATAAGACATCAGACAGACAGCTGAATGCTTTACAGACATCTGAATGATAAGTGGAAATATTAGTCTCAATGATCAACCAACGTTAGAATTTGGAATTTTTCGTTGCTGAATCATTGCGTTCTCTTCGATCAATATGCCAGTTTTTATTGACCAATTATGTTATTGAGTGAGTTAATTTGCAATGATTTCAGTGATACTGTAAACTGAAGCTTTCGCTTTAATATAATGTTCAGTACCAATTGAAATATTGAAAAATTGTGGTGAGCATTTAAGCAGAGAATCTGAAATTATTGATGCAATCGATTTTCCCATCGAAATATGGCACTGATAAGGAGCGCAAACAAAGATAATCCAGTCAGACGGCAACAAACAACTACAAAACAAAAAATACATTGCACTCACAAATCGTTTGTTATTAGTTCATAATAAATTTTGTTGATTATAATCAATATGGAGGATTATAAGTATTTGTTATTCATTTTATCAGTCGCGTTATTCTTGTCAGTCAAGTGATTCTTGATGTGTTTTGTACCAATTGTTGTAAAGCATCATAAACTCCATTATTTTCGATTGTTACTGCTCAGTTATTGGTGACGTGTTTTCGGCCTTCATACTGTACGCAT